ACCCTCTCTTCCAGAGCTTGCCCCGTCCAGCCTGCCCCGCGTCCTTAGCAAGACAGCCCCCACTCCACCCACAGCACACATCCCCACCTCCCAGCATGCCTACTCCACCAGAGATGGTGCTCCATTAGGAGCACCCCCAAAGAAACAGACCCAGCAGGATGATAACAAGAACCCAACATAAGCTCCTCAAAGGGGTTTGTTTTTCTCCTGCTTATTCTTAGAGCCTGGCAAGTCACTTTGGGGTTTCTCTTCCTTTACCCTGAGGGGCGCTGTTACGCCAACCCTTGAAGAAGAGGCTGTTTCTCTAATCACCTGTTTGCCCCGTACATAGACGCCTCCTTGTTGTATCTAAATCAGGCGGTCCAGGGCCAGATTGGCGCATATAGGTAGCTGCTATGTACCTCTCACCTCTCCTGTTGGTGTACCTCTCACATCTAGGAGCTCTTCCTGCCCCTTGGTCTGTACCTTGCATGAGAGTCATGAGAAGCTTCGTCCTCATCACCCACCACCATTCCTCTCCGTCTCTCTGTCTTCCCAGAGGCTATGGGCTGTCTGTGCTCACCCAGGTCTGTGCTCTCCCCCGCTTCCCTCCTCTTCCCTCCCTGAGTGGGCACTGCTTTCTCCCCGCTTCTTTTCTATCTTGATAGGTATCTAGATTTTACTAGATACTTCTGAGGCAACTAGTAAAATCTCCTAATGGATTTAGGTTGTTGGAAACCAATAGGCATAATATTTTCTGTTTTCTGTCCTGTCCCGTCCTCCCTCTGAGACAATTATCTGCTTACAAATATCAGAAGAAATAATCTAGGTTAACATCTCAAAAAATATTATCCTGTCATACAGACCAGCATAGTGCTGGGTACACAATAGAGTAGCTAGGATGAGGAAACCATTTTTGTCTGTTATATTCCATATATGTATTATATTTCACTTAAAGTGGAGTCATGCAAATAAATTATTTAAATACAGTTATGTGTCAACGAGCATGCGTTCTGAGAAATGCGTCCTTGGGAGATTCTGTAGTTGTGTGAACATCACAGGGTGCACTTACACAAACCTAGGTGGTCCAGCCTACTATACACCTAGCCTATATCATACATCCTACTTGCTCTCAGGCTACAAACCTGTACAGCATGTTACTATACTGAGTGCTGTAGGGAGTTGTAACATAATACTATTTGTATATTTAAACATATCTAAACCTAGAAAAGGTACAGTAAAAATGTGGTATAAAAGATGAAAAATGATACACATGTACAGGGTACTTCCCATGAATGGCGCTTGCAGGATGGATGTTGCTCTGGGGGAGTCAGTGAGAGAGCAATGAGTGAACATGAAGGCCTGGGACCTTACTGTGCACTACCTTACTGTGCACTACCTTCCTGTAGACTTTATTAACACTTAGGCTACACCAAATTTATAAAAGATATTTTTCTTCCTTCAATAAGTTAACCTTCACTTACTGTAACTTTTTTACTTTATAAACTTTAATTTTTTTAACTTTTGACTCATTTTTACTTTTTCACTCTTTTGTAATAATACTTAGCTTAAAACACACATTACAGCTGTACAAAAATATATTCCTTCTGTATATCCCTATTCTATAAGTTTTCCACTTAAAATTTTTATTTAAGTTTTGTTAAAAACTAAGATAGAAACATACACATTTATTAGCTTAGCCTATAAAGGTCAGGATTATCAATATCTTCCACCTCCACATCTTATCCCACTGGAAAGTCTTCAGGTGAAAAACATGCACGGTGTAGTCATCTCCTATAATAGTAATGCCTTCTGGAATACCTCCTGAAGGACCTGCCTCAGGCTTTTCTTGAGGAGGTGCCACTCATTCCAGAAATATGTCCATGGTGGTTTGCTTGACTGGTTTCTTTTTTTCATCATAGATTTACTTGTAAGTAGACAATGCACCATGAACATTCCTTTCTGTTAATGAAAACCTTTCAGTGTTGGGACCTGTGTTTTCAAACTTTTTAAGAAGCTTGTTGAAATCTGCAAAAGCTTCTACTAAACCTTTCACTGCATAATCATAAGGGACCACTGTACTGTCATAGATGTGGTATGTCCTGGACCCAAAAGTCGCTACGTGGTGTATGGCTATATTTTGAAATGGATGTTATGGAAAACTCCTTATATTGTATTGTAATAGTTACTGTAAAGCCTCGAGTCTCAGTAGCTTAAGAAGGTCCAATGTGGATTTTCCTAGTGGGGCAGCTTTCCTGGGAGATTTTCTTCCAAGCAGTAAAGGGTCTAAGCCCTTTCCATTTTGCAGCTCCATGACCTCTATGATTGCTGTGGAAGAGGAAAGAGAGAAAGAGAAAAAAAAAGGTCCTTCTGCTCTGAACAAACTAATCATCACTTTTGTTCACTGACTTTTGATGGGAACCAGTCACAGGACTGGTTACTTTGCAAGGGGCTAGCCGTGTTCAAACCAGTTTTGTGCTGTACTCTTTTTGAGAATTAAAAGGATGTTTGAAAGTAAGTTGAAAACAGAGCTTCATAAAGAAACTGACAAAAAAGAAAGAAAGAAAACAGGCCAATCACAATCTCATGTATGATAATCTTAATGGAAGCATTATCAAATTTAATTTAGTGTAGTATTAAAAAATAATTCACCAGAACCATGAATACAAAAATAGTTTAATGTTAAGAAATCTACTAATAAAATTAATTCCATCAATATGTTTCAAGAGAAAAGACTTATTATCATTGCCATAGATACCAACGTGGCATGGAAAAATTCAACATTCATTTTGATTAAAAAACAAACTATTAGTGTGCAAAGGCACTTTATTAACATGATAAAAAATATCTATCTAAACCCTACAGATAACATTAAAATTTGCAGAGATGTTCTTGTTAAAGTTAGGGATATAGGCTTTCTTGTGTCACTGCAATCATTTTAGATTGATTTCAAAAAGATGACAAAAATTGCTTTCTTTTTTATCCCCTTTTTTTACATAACAGCAGATACTGTGATCACATACTGTGAATATCCAAGAGAATGGTTAATTAATGAAAAACTATTAGAATTTAATGTTATACTATACAATTTTCAAGAAGAGTGAGGTTGATGTGTACACACAGACGTGGAGATAAACTGCTGTGTGACAAAAGCAAGATGCAGAACAGTCTGTATAGTGTGACCTAGTCAGTGTATGTGCATGTGTGTGTGTGTGTGCGTGTGCATGTGCATGTACACACATGCACACGTGTGCATACATACATGTGTGTATGATTTAAGTATAGAAAAAGCTTTAGAAGGATATTACCATACTTCTGGGAAAGGAAATGGCATTGGAGGGGTGCTGGTACTTTTACTTTTTACCCTTTGTATTATTGTGTTATTTAATTTTCTTTCTTTTTTTTTTTTTACAATGTATGTGACTAGAGTTGGCATCCTTGCCATGTACTGGATCTTAAAGGAAAAGCTTTCAGTTTTCCCCCATGGATTATGATGTTAGGTAAGGACTTTTCATAAATTACTTTTATTGTGTTGAGGAAATTTCCTTTTGTACCTGTTTTATTGAGAGTGTTTATCATGAATGCATGTTGAATTTTGTCAAATGCTTTTGCTTCTATTGAGGTGATCATGTGGTTTTTCATCCTGTGGTATCTTTGTCTGACTTTGGTATTGAGGTGATGCTTGCCT